AGAGAGAGAGAGAGAGAGAGAGAGAGAGAGAGAGAGAGAGAGAGAGAGAGAGAGAGAGAGAGAGAGAGAGAGAGCATCATGGCCACCATGAGAGAGAGAGAGATGTTCCTTCTTAGCACTCATCCTGCTGTTTCTTCCCTAATGTTTTTGTCCACAATGCTTTTGCCACATTCCCTCTTCCTGTTTCTCTTGTTTCCATTCCCTCCACATTCCCTCTTCCTGTTTCTCTTCTTTCCACTCCCTCCCCTTCTCGTCTTTTCGCTTTCAGAAAGATCTTCCAAAACCTCTTGAAAGCATTTCCTCCTGAAATCATACCTAGACAAAATCCACCCGGGCAGCATAATCCCCAATAGTGACGATTGATTTCGTACTCGACACTGTCGAGATTAAATACCCCACAACAAAAATGAGAAATTGGTAACAGACGCAGCATAGCTCATCAAAGAAGGAAGAAATCGATGCCCGGTGAGATCACCCACCAAAAAAAAAAAAAAAGATCACCTGCAAGCTCTAGTGAGATCTCAAGGCCTTTGCTTTCGCATTTGACAGCAAACATGTCAACCAGCGATTCCAGGTCCTTCCACAGATTAAACTTCTCATTCTCAAGCACAAGTTTTCCCTTCTCTTCCTGCATAACATTCACAGGAACACCTTTCATTGTTATATAACTTCACCAATTATAAGTCAGGGCCATGCTCCTATCAGCACTCCTTGCATCACCCAGGGAGTCAAAAAAAAAAGAAAGAAAGAAAAGAAGGGTCATGCCAGTTGCCTGTTTTGTCCAAACAGAGTGATAGTAGGTCTGGGTCTTTTTTTTTTCCTGTTTTTCCAATGGTCAGAGACTCAGAAAAAATTCAAAATAGTGACAATTTGCCAAACACTGGAAAGCTCTGGAAAAGTACGAGAACAATTATCTCAGTTGAAGAACATCTCAAAAGTGTTCAACTTTTTTTTTTAGCATCTTGAAAACACAGTTTAAACGTTAAACTGCTTAACACACAGCATTTTATAGAACTGGCATCATAGCCAACAAATTGGAAACAAGTGAGAAATTTGAAGCCAGGTCTCAAATAGACAGAGACTGGAATGGAGTTGGATTCAAGGAAAACTTAGAAGCAAAAAAAGAGTGGTCATTAGGGACATCCGTAAAACGATAAAGAGAAGAATAGGATGGACCCTGCGCAAGGATGACACACTTAAATCGAGAAATAGTCGAAAATTCAAAATTGTTATTAAAAAAGACAAGTGGACTCGACAAAGACATTTTGCAAAACACCCCAGCCATCAGTTGGAACCCATCTTTGCAATGTACCCGTACCGGATGCTGCACAACTTTGCAAAATGCCCCGGCAGTTGCCAAGTTTTCGTAGGTGCAATTGCAAAAGGCCAAGAGAATTTTGCACACCCACCTGACAGCGGCACAACATAAACATGTCAGCCCAATAGGCCATTCCCACTGTGCCCATATCGTTTAGGGACATTTTAACTTGTGGGGGTATTTGGAAAATTACCCGCCCCCACAAAAAAAGGAGACTCTCTCTCTCTCTCTCTCTCTCTCTCTCTCTCTCTCTCTCTTTTCTTGCACACCTCCTGCCCCTTGTGCGACCTCGCAACCTCCTCATCGTCCCTGGCGGCCCCCTCCTCCCATCGGCACAAACTCCTCCCCCTAGCACAACCTCCTCCTCCCACTGGGGCAACCCCCTCCACCTCCCGCACGACCTCCTGCAACCGCTCGTCCCCATTGTGCGACCTGTTCGTGCCCCTCCCATGACTTCGTCCTCCCATTTGCACGACCCACTCCTCCCCCCTCCTCAGACCTCCACCTGCCCCCTCAATGGAAAACTCTCTCTCTCTCTCTCTCTCTCTCTCTCTCTCTCTCTCTCTCTCTCTCTCTCTCTCTCT